GGTAAATAATGATGAGGACAAGTCAGTTATACAGACCAATCTTGATATAAAATGGACTCACTTGAACAAGCTACATTTTTAGCACAGCTAAATGCAAGGTTATATATCTAGGAAAAAAGAATGTAGGTTACACTTACACGATGGATGGTATCCTGGAAAGCAACAACACAGAAAAGGATTTAGGGGATCACTGAGATAACAAATTCAACATGAGCTCCCTGTGCAGTGCTGTAGCTGTGAGGGTGAACATGATCCTCAGACATATAAACGGGAATATCAGGTAGGAGTAGGGAGGCATTAGTGGGAAGAGTCTGTGAATTTTGTGTCCAGACCTGTTGTCCATACCTGAAAAAGGATGTTGAAAAACTGGAAAGGGTTCTGAAAGGGCTACAAGAATGGTTTGAACCTGCTTTAGAGAGACGGGGAGAGAGAGAGAGAGAGTCTAAATGAGCTTAATCTATTTAGCTGATCCGAGAGAAGATTAAGAAGTGACTTGATCAGTCTATAAGTATCCGCATGGGGAACAAATTTCTGAGAGCAGACAGCTCTTTAATCTAGCAGAAAAAGACATAATGAGAGCAAATGGTTGAAGGGTGAAACTAGAAAAACTCAGAGTAGAAGTAAAGGTGTGCTTTAATGGTGAAGGTATTTAAACGTTGGAACAATTTATCAAACATATTCAATCAAGATGTGGTTTTAAAAAGGGAGATTGTAGCAAAGGTGAGGGCTTGCTGTAGGAAATGTTGGGTGAGGTTTTTTGGGCTGTGTTATGCAAAAGGTCAGACTAGCTGATGATAATGGTCCCTTCTGATCTTAAAAATCTATGAATCTAGGTATTACAATTATATTGGGTAAAGCAGTAGTGGGCAACTTGCAGCCCATGGGCCGCATGCAGCTTATCAGGGTAATCTTATTGTGGACTGCGAGACATTTTGCTGATGTTGACCATCTGCAGGCATGGCCCCCCACAGCTCCCAGTGGCTGCATTTCGCCGCTCCTGGCCAATGGGAGCTGCGAGAATCTGATTGCAGGCTGCAGGTTGCCCACCACTGGGTTAAAGTGTCTGACCAACACAAAATTCTTGTGATGCTGAAGCTCAATTTGTCCCTACCACTCATTCAAAAACTGGAAACCTGTGCAGCTGCTTGCCTAAAAGGGCGTTGTGAACCCTTACAGCAAAGCGTCAAGGTTTTTGATTTGGTTAAAGTACAGGGAACAAGGGCAGATGTTAACAATTAATCAGATGAAACTCCAGAGCTGCTTAAAACAGCTTTTCAATTAGAACTGATTTGCAATAACACAAATTAGAAATTAGAAAATGGGTTTGAATATTTATATATGGCTATTAAGGTAAAATGAAATTCAAGGAGGCTTAAAGCTACTTCCTGTCATAGTGTATATATAATTTGAATGTAGAGTACATCCCCAAACTGACACGTAGATCCCTGAATATTAGCTTGTACCCTGTCACTCTTGCTTGACCTATGGCAGGCCAAATGATGATAGCTGTGACAGCATTGTTTGAATACTCTATAGTTCTAAAGTAGAAGTGACGATACTCCTGTTGAAGACTGCTTGTGTAGGCAAGATGTTTTAACATACTTCAGCATTAGTCAGATAGTTACACCTCACTACTGATATTTTTTATGCCTGTATACAAATCTCACTACTATACAACTAATATGTTGTGTATTTAATATAAAGTCATCATTAAATTCCCAGACATGAAACTGTTATGAGAAGGAGTGTTGTGTGTTATGAGAAGGAGTAAATAACACTTCCTATTTACTTTATCCACATCAGTCATGATTTTATAGACCTCTGTCATATCCCCCCTTAGCGGAAAAGAGACGATTAAGGGGGAATATGGTTGAGGTCTATAAAATCATGACTGGTGTGGAGGAAGTAAATAAGGAAGTGTTATTTACTCCTTCTCGTAACAACAGAACTAGAGTTCACCAAATCAAATTAATAGGCAACAGGTTTAAAACAAAGTATTTCTTCACACAACACACAGTCAACCTGTGGAATTCTTTGCCAGAGGATGTTGTGAAGGCCAAGACTATAACAGTTTTCAAAAAAGACCTAGATAAATTCATGGAGGATAGGTCCATCAATGACTATTAGCCAGGAGGGGCAGGGTTGGTGTCCCTAGCCTTTGTGTGCCAGAAGCTGGGAATGGGTGACAGGAAGTGGATCACTTGATGATTACCTGTTCTGTTCATTCCCTCTGAAGCACCTGGCATTGGCCACTGTCGGAAGACAGGATACTGGGCTAGATGGACCTTTTGTCTGACCCAGTATGGCCATTCTTATGTTACCCAGGTTGAAGCTGACAGTACATCTAAGTAGTTAAGAGGAAAAATTGGTATAAGAACCTTGCAGTTTTTTTTAAATGAAGCCACAATTCATATATGAAGTAAAATTGAAACAAAGCAAGGGCTATAACAAAGAAAATAGAACTATGTTAAGGTGTCCAGGCTACCTCGATATCTGCCCCTTCCCCATCTGCTTGTAAAATGTGCTGTTTTGGGGTGAAGAACCTTTTCTAGTTTACATCCACAGCCTATGGATTCAATTTTATCGACTGTAATTATACAACTTGGTGGCATGGTGATAGGAGCTATAAAAATATCAAGACAGGTGGAGTATAAAATGTTCACCTTGTAGGGCTGATTTATAATCAGCTTCATGTTTTCATTGTGGAGACCCTGGCTTTGTGTGTAATGACATGTGGATTATCAGTTCGCACCAGTCATAGAACCCTGAGACATGCTGAATAACCTCAACACTTTCAGGGTCCAATGCTACGATGAGGAGTGGGGATGTACAGAAATGCCTGTAAAACAGAGTGGAGGCCAAGTAGCTTTCCTCTGTGCAATAGCAGTGAAAAGGCAAGAGTTGGCACAACCACGCTGTGACTAACAGAAAAGTGTGTGCTCTTGTTATTCTTAGTGACATTAAACTGTTTTGTAATTCTAAATGTATTCAAGGTATTGCTGTGGGGGCAATTTCACCTTAACTTGGAAATTAACTGGTGGTTTCTTGTTCATTTTCTGAAGACTCCCTTTAAAATGTTTACATGCTCAAGCTACTGATATTGTAAAACTTGTTGATTATGCTAATTCCAGACAGTTTCTACTTTAACCCACAGTACTGCACTGGAGAAAAGGGGCTTGCAGGGGGACTGGGGATTCTCTGTCATCCTAAAGATTTCTTGACGTGTGTAAGGGAGCCACCTCCGGACACCTGATGTCCTCTGGAGGAGCAGGACTTCATCTGGATAAGTAGAGCAAACCCAGCACTGAGCCTTTTGAGGCCACCCCATTCCCCACAACTTTTAATGGCTAAGAGACTTAAGAGTCCCTCCAACCATCCTATGGCACTGCAAGTCCTATGAAGTTTGTGGTCCTCTGCAAGCCTTAAAAGCTACCTTTGCATACCTTAGCAGACATATGGGGGATGCCTTGGCTGAACAACCCCTGTAGTTGAGAGGATGAGTCTCTGAATCCTCAACAAGTCTCCTAAAGCTTGACTGCAAGGATGCAACAACTTCCTAAAGTCTGCCTGGATGTGTGCTTTGAGTGGTGCCGTGCCCTCTCTTTTGTCCTCCCACGTTCCAACTTTTGCTAGAAATTTGCCAATCTGTGGCTTTGTTAGCAATTTCTACTTGAGTGTGGTACCAGAAATCAAAAGTCTTCCCAATGAGAAATCAACTTAAGATGTTAGCCGTTTAAGTGGGACAATAGATGTTAACTTTGCAAAACCAAAGCAACTTAGCTCAAGTACAAATCCAGGAGCTTATGACTGGCCAATTGTATGTGCATTCTAGGTATGTACATTCTAGTTCAGCACATGTTTTTTAAACACTGAGACCCAAAGGTAGCAAGCTTGTCGGTGTGTGGACAATATGTGGAAAATCAAGGATACTTAAATGAAATACTAAATTCAAATTCAAAAAAAGGCCTACATTTGCTCTGGAATAAACTTAGAACCTACTTTCTTCCAACCACGTAGCTCATTCCTAAACTTTGGCCTTTGAACAAAGGGCTTAAACTCTTGCCCCATTTCAATGAGCAACTAACATACATCCTGTTTAAAATAAAGGTGAGATGGGGAGATTAAAAACATTTTGACCACTTAAAACCGTCAGCTAGTGCAGCAGCTGCCTGGCTCGCTACCAGTGGTGTTAGTAGCCGCAGTGTTGATTTTTGGATGCAATTCAGGGAGTTAATTTTCATCTATAATGCCCTCTCAGTTTGATTTCTTGGCTACCTGGAAGGCTGCCTCTGCACTACTGTTGCACTACTGCGTATGCAACCACAAGAAGTGAATCAGGTTGGCAATCTTGATATAAATTCCAAGATGTGTGTGTCTGGGGACCAGATGCTGTTTATTGTTGGAGGGCTCATAGCTCTGGATTTGACTTACCTGTTGATGACTCAGACTCTGATCTTCAGTTATGTCAGAAGGCTCACACTAACTGGGGCCTTAACCAGAGAATTGGTGGTAATTGTCACCCATAAATATAACTGAAACCTTAAATAAACTTCGTGATAGTAATTAATGGTAGTATATTGACTTCTTGATCTTTACTATGTGTATTAGAGCCTGTTGTTGAGCACAGTTTAAAACCTGAACTAACTTGAAATCCAGGCTGGGGGTCCTGCTGGATTTTTGACTGCTTGTGTATATCAGGGTTAAGTGGGGTCTATGACTTTCACCTCCAGGCTGCGTTACAGTTGTACAATCTAAACCTGAAGACATAGATGACTTAGAAACTTAGTGTAGAATGTGGTGAGTAGTTCAGTTATTATTGCCTCTCTCTAGGAGAGAGTTAAAAGTCTGCACTGGCTTCCAACTTGATATGAGATATAGTTTGAGGGCTTGCTTGAAAATTATACACATTACCTGTCTCTTCAAGGCAGACTCATGCTTTCTATTTCAGCTGAGAAATTGCTCATCTGGGATGACTGAGGTGAATCTCTAGGTCTACTCACCTGAGGGCTGTGAGAAGAATAGTTGGAGGGTCCCCACATCTGCAATTCTTCCTTCTGGCAAAGTCCAAGTTCTTTAACCCTCAGGCCGTGCTGCACCCAGGCTTCACTGAAGCTGCTGGTTGGAGGAACGTGTGTTTTCAGAGGATTGTGTTTTTCTTTAGGTGACCCTGTCACTGAAGTCAGCTAACTTGAGTTGATTGATGTATTACATGTATCTTTACGCTTGTCGCAAGTACTCCCAGAGGAAAAAAAAAATCACTTGATCGTGATGCAAAACTTAAAATTTCACCGATGGACTCTGAAGGAGACTATTGCCATAGTAGTAAAGTCTTGGAAAAAATCTCTCCAGTGTTACGTGAACTGCAGAGGCATTTTTTTCTTTAGTTGCTCCATAATATCCACCCCAGGTTTTACAACGAGCTCTGTTGCATGATGGATCATAGCTTTAAAAATAGTGTGCTTAGTGCCAGGTGGGTAAATGGTGGTTGTTTGCCTCTCGAATCAATCTCGTGGAGCTGTACCTCAATATCTCAAATCAGCAGTTTCATTTGAGGAGCTCCCAGTAACCTGGGATACGACATAGAACTGTAACAGAATACCATTCAGTTAGTTCTACATGACTTCACTTTGAAATGTAGTTTTGTCTGCTGGCACAATCAGCAAAAGTAGAAGGTAAGATTGAGCTTCATCTTATGGAGCAGGAGTTGAATAATATTTAATGAAGAATGTGGTTTGAATCTAAATGCCTTGGAATATATTTTTTGTATGTTCAAAGATAATTTGTTAAATTAAAGGAGTGTATTTAACAAATTTGTTGAAGTATGGATCAAAAACATACGGTTGGAGAATGGGAGAGTGTGTGGCTAAAACAATACAAACACATGGACTCTTAATTTAACAAAAATGTTTGTAGAATCATAGAAATGTAGGTCTGAAGGGACCTCAACATCATCGAGTCCAGCCCCCTGTGCTGCAGCAGAACCAAATAAACCTAGACCATCCCTAACAGGTGTTTGCCCAACCTGTTTTTTAAAACTTCCTGCGATGTGGAATCCTCACCTCCCTTGGAAGCCTATTCCAGAGCTTTCCAACCCTTAGAGTTAGGTCAGATATTAGGAAAAACTTTCTAATTCTCCCTTGCTGCAGAGTAAGCCTATTACTTCTCGTCTTACCTTCAGTGGCCCAGGAGAACAACTGATCACCATCCTCTTCATAACAGCCCTTTACATATTTGAAGACTGGTATCAAGGTCCCGCTCAGTCTTCTTTTTTCAGGGCTCAACATACCCAGTATTTTTACCCTTTCCTCATAGATCAGGTTTTCTAAACCGTGTATAATTTTTGTTGCTGTTCTTTGGCCTTTCTGCAATATAGCCACATCCTTTCTAAAGTGCGGTACCCAAAATTGGACACAGTTCTCCAGCTGAGGCCTCACCAGTGCCAAGTAGAGTGGGATAATTACCTCCCATGTCTTATATATGACCCTTCTGTTAATACACCTTAGAAAGATATTAGGCTTTTTTGCAACTGTATCACATTGTTGACTGATATTCAATTTGTGATCCACGATAATCCCCACATCCTTTTCAAGAGTATTACTGCCTAGTCAGTTATTCCCCATTTCATAGTTATGCCTTTGATGTTTTTCTTTCCTTAGTGGACTTTGAACATGTCGTAATTGAATTTCATCTTGTTGAATTCTCCAGTTTGCCAAGGTCATTTTGAATTCTAATCCTGTCCTCCAAAGTACTTGCAACCCCTCCCACATTGGTGTCATCTGAAAATTTTATAAGCATATTCTCCATTCCATTATCCAAGTCATTAATGAAAATATTGAATAGTAGCAGACCCAGGTCGGACCCATGGGTGACCCCACAAGATATGCCCTCCTAGTTTGAAAGTGAATCATAGATAACTACTTTCTGAGTATGGCTTTTCAACCAGTTGTGCACCACCCTATAGTATTTGCATCTAGATCACAGTTCCCTAGTTTGCTTCCGACAATGTCACGTGGGACTGTCAAAAATATTTCTAATCTCAAGATATATCATATCTACTGCTTCTCCCCATTCACTAGGCCAGTTCTTGACAAATCCGTGCTGGCTATTCTTTATAACCCTATTATCCTCCAGGTGCTTACAACTTGATTTTTAAAATAATTTGTTGCAGTATCTTTCCAGGTATCGAAGTCAGGCTCAGTGGTCTATAATTCATCTGGGTCCTCTTTGTTTCCTTTTTAAAGAAGATACTGTGTTTGATCTTCTCCAGTCTTCTGGGACCTAACCCGTACTCCATGAGTTCTCTACGATAATTGCTAATGGTTCTGAGATTTCTTCTGCTAGTTCCTTATAAGTGCCCTAGGATGAATTGCATCAGGCCTTGTTGACTTACCTACATATACTTTAACCTGCTCTTTCCCTATTTTGTCTTGCATTCCTTCTCTCTTGTTGTACTTAAACATAGGCAACCATTGTGGAGCCTAATGGTATTTTTCCCCTCTTTTCTTACCCATGTTGTGGCTATTAATGTTGTTGCCTTTTGTGCCGCTTTTGCAGAGTGAAACTGACCCTCTCGTTACTCCTTCACATTGCAGACGATAACTATGTTAACGTTCATAGCTGGTTTATTCTTAAACTTTTTTTGAAGGCTCTGCCTATCATGTAAGTCTCATTTTTCAAGTAACTTGGCCCTTAGGCTCCGAAGTCTCATTGACTTTCAAAGTGCCTGAATCACTTTGGAAATGTGACTTAATTTTTTTGACGATCTTGCCACTTAACTGTTTATTATGTAATATAATTAGTTCTTACCAAAGCCTAACTTTCAAGTTGAAAACTGGCATTGTGAATACACATCTAATGACATCGTAACATGAGAATGACTTACAGCAGGGCGATTACAAGGTAAAACAATGCTTTATGCCTTGGATTCAAAAGACTTTTATTAAGTAGAAGTCTAGACCATTTTTCTGTGATGGACCAGTCACAGGCTTTAAAGACTGTAGCTTTCCTCCTGGAAAGGCAATTAATATGTACTATTCCTGCTGTTAAACTTACTGACTTTGTTTGCACTTGCTTACGGTACAAAAACATGGATGTCAGAGGATTTTCTTTGGCTGTTATTGAGAGAATGGAAACCTGCTGGTACAGCACTAGTTGAATTCTGGGTTTATGTGCCTGTCCCTTCATGGTTTATGGAGTGTGCTTCTTCTGTCTAAGCAATATAAATCAATATGAAGAGTGCTTATGAACACTTTAGGGCACTACTTTAGTATTAGAAATCTAAAACACTTGATTATATAATATTTCACGAGTCTCCATATAGCAATACTGCATCAGTCTCCTTTCACGTGCCTCAATTCTTACGCCTAGAAGGAACAGGATGAATTTCTCATTTCCACCAAGGCCACTTTCAGGCCCTTTAAAATGCCACAGTGGTGTAAAGTGGGTGTAAATATAATTCACACTGCCAGAATGGAAATGAGAATCTTGTCTTTGGAAAGAACTTTGTGAAATGCCTTGAAGTATAATGTTTCTCAAACACGTCAGGCATTTTTTAGGGAGGGAAGTAGCTATGACTGAAAAGCCAATTGCTGAAGATGAAATATTCAGCACAGTTCTTACGAGGTAAGCATAAGAGAACATTCAGGCAGGATTCTTCTTCTCTGGGAACAGTGAGCTAGTGAAAACAAAATGGTGATGGCAGAAGAATGTTCAGAAGTCTAGGGTGAATGAGAACAAGGAGGAAGAACCCTTGTGTGTGGGAGGGAAGATCAACAAGGCTGCTTGGAGGAGGTTTCTAAAAAAAGGCAAGAAACCAAAGTCTTTATGAGTCCAGACCCAATTTAGTTCTATTTCACTTTGACGAGTCTTTCTAGTTAAAAATCAAGCGGTTGGAAAAACTATGGGCATGACCAAAGCCCAAAAGTATATTGGGGTCTCCTTTCTCTTTACTTTTCCCTGTACCATTAATGGGGAGATAAAGGGAATGCAGGAAGGCGAGAGTGGACATGATGAAGGATAGTTGTGTATGTGTAATAGTAAGCTTAAGTACCTAAAAGTGCAGCCCCTTTTTTATTGCACCCTACAGAGAGGATAGAAATATGATCTTAATGTGCTGCCAGCTTTTTCTCCCAGCAGTAATGGATATTAGCACTTGGATGCAAATTAAAATAATGACAAGATACCACATTAGTGATGAGTGTAGGGAGGAGAGGGTAAAATTGAGAGCTTTGGCTTGGCTAAAGCCTCCACAGTGTCTGCTGCTGAGGGGAAAGCTTGTAGTTTTCTGAAATTGGACAAAAAGGCTAATCAGATAACTGAAATACTTGGGGCTTTTGTTTCCAGCTGGGGCTAGAGGTGCATAGAAAAGGATGAACACTTCTTCAAAAATAAAAAAAAGCTAACCATATTTGAATCTCAGTAGAAACCAGTGTGGTCCCAGTCTTAGGAGAGTTTGGTTGGGGAGGGGGGGTTCTCTTCACTACTCTGCCTGCCAATTTTTCATTGAAATAAGAACTGTCTCTGTTGCAAAGGCTCTTCAGACTCTGACGCATCAGCTGTACTTCCTGCCCTTTAAAAAAAAAGTCCTATTGAAATGATCTCTAAACTAGACAGTGTTTAATCATTGCAACTGACGGTCACGACTGTGCTGTGAAGCTTAGAAATGAAAGACTAACAAAAAAGAACCTCAGCTCATTATTGTTTTTTAACAGCTATGATGCAGAAAAAATACGGTTGGTTTTGTCTGTGTTTGCGCTGTCTGATATCTCTTACCACAAGACGACTGCTGGGAGATTTAATTGGATGTCACATTAGTAAGTGTGAGTGTGTGTGTGTGTGTCTGTGTGTGTGTTTGCCCACAGTGGAATGAGTTCCATGCTTGTAGTTAAGTGATATGACATGCCTGCTGTTGAGCTCTCAAGAGCATCTCTGTGTCTGTAAATATTTTACTTGGGCTTCAAAAGTAAAGGCTAACACTTTTCTCCGTAGACCCTATACCATGTGTACGACTTTAGCAAACGTTGGAACAGCACCAACCTTTTTTCTAACTAGGATTATTAGCTGGGATTATTGAAATCGACAACAACTCCCACACTTTCAATTGAAAAACCATTTATTCAGCACCCTTGACACATGTGGCAGTTGAGAAGCAAGACAAGATCTCTGTCAGGGAGAATTCATCATAAAGATTGGACAGAGGAAACACCATAGGGAGTGAAGGACGACGGAAGACAGAGAACAACTCTCAGTAGAAAAATAAGATTTATGGGTCATATGCTGTAATTGATCTGATATTTTTATTTGCCCTTTTAAATTTGGAACAGGTGGAACACAGAACTAGACCTTAGCCTAAGGATGGAAGACAAGCAAAAGTAAGTGTTGGAGAAGAGAAATAGTGTCTAGGAGGTAGGAAATTGGTTCAAATAATAATATTAAGAAGCAACAGCTGGAAAAGTATGGCAAGGAATTGCACAGTTTCTGAGGTTTGAATGTTCCAGGGCAACTTTTAAAAATTAAACTGCTAAGACAGAAAACGTCTTTAGGATAGTTAAGATAAATTGACCACTTATATAAAACTTTAACTGTAAAATAACAAGAGAAACTGAGGATTAGGAGGAGCAAAGGGTAAAAGTCTGAAAACTCAGATGTCTTGAACA